TACACTATTAAGTCATGATTTGCAAAAGGTTGGTCTTGGAATGTGGAGGTCTAATTCTACATCGGATAAGACAACAATGGTAATTGATGGAGATGAAGAGAAAAATGAAAAAACTGCTGGTTCTGTTACTAATAGGGGAGATGTAATACAAGCTCCTCTGGGGTTGTTCCCTCGACCTTGGCCACCAAATGCTGATGCTTCTGAAGGAAGCCAGTTTTCTAAAGTAATTGAATATTTCCGGCTACTTGGACGTGTGATGGCTAAAGCTCTTCAGGATGGACGACTTTTAGACCTGCCTCTATCAACACCATTTTATAAACTTGTGCTTGGTCAAGTAAGCTGATTGCATTGTTTAAAATTGTAGAACCACTTGAATCTTATTTAAGCTTAGATTGTATATTTGTATGCCTGTAAAATTTCTACTATTGTGTCAATTGTCTTACTTTTCATATAATATTGCAGGAGCTTGATTTGTATGATATTCTGTTTATTGACGCTGAATTTGGGAAAATTTTGCAAGAATTGCATTTCCTTGTTTGTCGAAAGCAATACTTGGAATCAACAGGTGGTGAAAATAGTGCTGCAATTGCCGATATACGCTTTCGTGGGGCCCCAATAGAAGATCTCTGTTTGGATTTTACACTTCCAGGCTATCCAGATTATATACTGAAATCAGGGGATGGAACTGTATGTCTTTTAACTTTTAATTCTATTCCCTTCTTTATTCCTTTTTCAGTAGACAATTCCAACATCCTGTTAAATGCATCAGGTGGATATCAATAACTTAGACGACTACATATCCTTGGTGGTTGATGCAACTGTCAAGGCTGGAATTATTCGGCAAATGGAAGCATTTCGGGCTGGATTTAATCAGGTACAGTTGCTTTATTTGTTCCGAGTTTTCTCAACTGATCTCAACTTGATTTTTTTTTTGGATTTCCTTGTTAATTATCTGCATATGAGGAGGTGTTTCTGAGATTCATTGCAATGTTAATATATGCTTTGTATAACAAGCAGGTTTTTGATATTGCATCATTGCAAATATTTACCCCACAAGAGTTGGATTATTTGCTGTGTGGTCGCAGAGAGCTGTGGGAGGTAATTTGACACTTAATGTGATAAGATTGCTAATTTCTTTGGTTAGAACTGGTTTTCTGTTTTGATTTTGATGTAACTTAAAAATGCTGCAGGCTGAGACACTTGCTGATCACATAAAATTCGATCATGGATATACTGCAAAGAGCCCTGCTATTCTTAATGTATGTTTGTTTCATGACACTTCTTCAAGTATCTTGAAATCTATATTGTACTCATGAGAAATTTTGATTTTGTGATTTTGCAGTTACTTGAAATTATGGGAGAATTTACACCAGAGCAGCAGCGGGCATTCTGCCAATTTGTTACCGGTGCTCCTAGACTTCCACCTGGCGGTCTGGCAGTGCTGAATCCAAAGCTTACAATTGTTAGAAAGGTAACTGACGTTACATTGGAACTTCAATATCAATGTTTCTTCTCTTCTATATTGTTGTCAACATATAACATCACAACAGGCTTTGAAAATTAAGATCAAAGTCCGGCTGAAAGCAGCGTTACATAGTAATTTGTTTATGCCAATTATTTAAGTGCTCAAGGAAATGGCTTCGTTATTTTGAAGTTGCCCCTCAAGGGAGAGTGCCCATGTTTGGCACCTGCGCTTGACACATTAGAAAATGGATGCATAGGTATAATCTTCCAAATGTAAACTACATGAGAAACAAAATTAAGCATACTGCACACTCGTTGCCGCATTGACACCTCCAAGTTCGAGTAACAGATATTCATGAGTATTGTTGTTGTCTTAACAGGAAATGTTTCATGCAGGTGTACATTAAGCCAGGTTCTTGTTTGCGGTTCTAATGTTGTATTTGTCTGAAATATGGTTGCAGCATTCCTCTTCTGCAGTTGCTGCTACTTCCAATGGAAGTGGAACCTCAGAAACAGCAGATGATGACTTGCCCAGCGTCATGACTTGCGCTAATTACTTGAAGCTTCCTCCATATTCAACCAAGGTATTATTAATGGTACCATTTTATCTATATATTCATTCGAAAATGATTTTCGTACCACATCTTATTTCCTCATCGACCACTGCTACTGCCTTAACAGGAAGTTATGTACAAGAAATTGCTTTATGCAATCAATGAGGGGCAAGGATCTTTTGATTTGTCGTGATCCCCCAGTATTAGCAACCGAAATGTAGTATATTTCCGAACAACCACAATGTGGGTCAGTTTTCTCCCCTGCTAATGTCATTTTTGATGTTTTGAAGTGGCGTATTAGGTATGTTTGTTTTCGTTTTCCTCATTTTTCAGTATTCGGTTGGTGAAAAACAAATTGGTCAATATAATTCATTTTCTTGATCAACAAAATTTCTTTTATATTTTCTAAAAAATGATTTTCGGTTTGATTTTTGTTAGTCATTTTTTTAAACTTTTTACTTCAAATCATAATTTTCTTAAGTCTTCCTAAATATGCTTTTAATAAAAATATTCACCAAAGGAACAGAACTTTAGACCGAAACATTATAAACCGAAGGTATATAAGGCCTACTTATGTGTAAAAGCATATAATATTCTGGGTAATTTGTCTTTGCGTCTATATGTTTTTTGTATATAATGTGGTATCTATGATTCAATCGAAATATGAATTATATGCTAAAATAATTAAATGGTTTTATTTGAATAAATGAGTGGGATATTATGAAATTATAAAAAATTAAAGTGATTTGATTATAAGAATAATTAAATATATTTATTATCTCTTATGATTTATATGGTATGAGTGATTATATGACAAATCGCATTGTTATTTTGGCATATATTGATGTGGCAATATTTAAAAAGGTTAATATTTATGTTTACCCTTAAACTACTGCTAAATCAACGAATAGATCCTTAAACAATGATTTTACATCAAGTTTATCCCCAAAAATTTTCTAATTTTCATTTTTTTTTCAAACACATGATCACCTTCCTTACAAAACAAAAACCATTCTTAACAAACCCTCGCCCGTTTAGAGGATCGAGTTTGCCAAATCTAAAGGGGGATCAATATGGTGATGTGAGCGAGGTTTTACGCCCGCACTAAATGAGATTGAAGGTTCTTTATGACTGTTGACCAAAACTTATGTTGTTGTAAATGATTCTGGTGTTCATGAGCTCATAACCCATTGCTAATTCATATCTAGCAAATAATATGCGTTATCAAGTTTAGCTTCAAATTTGATGAGAGGAGGGCATATGAATATGGTTTAAATAATTTGATTACAGGTTGAAAACTTATGCAATAATAGAGTCATTTGTGATTGCGACGAATCGGCAGCTTAATGCGGTTTATCCAATTCATAAGTTTCTCAACCCACACTTCCTTGACATGATGTTGTATCATATAAATGCATTGTTCTAGACCGTTCGGACAACTAGAGTTGACAGTTTTCTTACAAAATATTTCATGGAATTAACGTTAGAAATATACGAGGATTGAATTTTTCTTGATCAAGTCAGGCCCTCTCCACTGATCTCAAAAAAGGTAATAACTCTAATCAATTCAGACAAATTGACAAAGTTAGTCTGATAAATCTACAGCATATTAATTCCATTTTGCTTTATTCAAAGGACTAGCAATCGATGATAAGGATTCACCAAATAGTCTTTGATTACTGATAGAAGAATATTCATATGTTGTTGATGGATTGGAGATTTGGTTTGCAATTGAACAATGGGTTCAAGACCATTGATCTTTTTAATACAGGAACGATGAAATGGTTCGATAAGACCCAGAGCTCAAGTCTGGTGGAAGAAATACGAGCCATGGTGGCCTAAAATGCAAACTCGCGAAGACATCATGCATTCATCCACCGTTACCATATGATAAAGTTTATTTGGGATAAAGAGGCTCATTCAACCGAATGGACGTCCGATAAAACAACGTTACTATCTTCTAAGAAATTTGGGAACATGTGTTACATTACATGGAGAGAGTTTGTTCAATTGTGGTTTTTGTTTTGTAAGTAAGGTGGTTCAAATATAATGGAGATGATAGGATGTTCGAAAAAAATAGAAAATAAAATTTTAAGGGTAAATTAGATATGAAATCATTGTTCAATGACTTATTTGATGTTTTAGCAGTAGTTTAGGAGTAAAACTAAATATTAAACTTTTTATTAATGCTGTCACATCATCAATTTGACGGGAATGACTATGAAGTGACTATTTTATTATAAATCAATAACGTTAGCAATCAATTTGTAATTTTTGATACTTTAATGGAGAAAGAAAACTTACTTAAATATTTGTGACAACATCACTTTCAAAATTTAATGATAAAGATGAAAACTTATTACTAGTCATTTTTTAAAAAATGAAGTTTTTGTTATATTAAATATGTTAATGATAAAAAACTATGAAATATATTTTAAAATCTATAAATAAAATAGTTTTTAAATCTATTAATTATAAGATTAAGAATTTTAAAATATTTAAAATAATTATACTCAAAATTAAAAAATATTGTAATATTTTATTGAGACATAGTGAGTAAAATAGTGAGAAAAATATTAACTAAATAATATTGTAGTATTTAGTTGATGGCTTATAAATATTTGTGGATTATTTAACTTAATATTTTTTTATAAATTTATAAATTTGTAGATAAATAGTATTTAATTTAGAATATTTTAATTATTGTCTGTAATATATTTGAAGTAGATGTAAATATTAATTTTATTTTAAAATTTTCATATATTAATGGTTATAGAATTAAGAACATGACAACATTATATATTTTAATTAATTCATTAAAAACAAAATACTTAATAAATTAAAGTAAATATACTAATACATAGATCTGACTTGTATTATTAAATCTCGTTAATTTTTTTCTTTTTTAAATTGAATTTCATTAATAAAAAAACTTAATTAATTCTTATCTTAAATACTGCAATATCGGATTTATTGAGAGCACTAACATTGGCTGATCCTAGCTCAAGAAAAATGGGGAAAAAATTCTCAATCTTTTCCATTCAAGCCCTCTCGCCATACTCTGTCTAGCCTTTTATTTACCACAAATCACTTGAACGGCCAAAATCTTGGGTGTATTAGGCGGACATGCACCGCTCATGTTACCGAATTCCGCAGCATCCACCGGGATTTTGCACGTTGGTTTCCCCATGCAGAGCTTCTCGACAACTTGCTTCGTCGCCGGAGCGGTGCAGTTTCCTTGAACGAAGGCTGCGCAGCTTCCGAAAGGGTCACCGAAGCTGGCGAACTCGACTACCGAGATCACCTTCTGGTCCGGACATTTCAGCTCAGCCTTCGGTTTCAAGTCATTCACCAGTGGTCGGATGACGCCGCCTTTGTTCTCGAACAACCTCGGTGACGGCGGGTGGAGTTCGGACACGACACTGCATGTTAAGTCCCTGTTAGCTGTTGATATGTAGACTTCTTTAGGGCTACCTTGTTCTTCCTCGAAGATAACAATCAGGTTGTCCTTTGGCTTTATAAATGATCGTGGGATATGGTACCTGACATTATAAAACATTCTTAGTGTCTTCGTATCCGGTTTAGGGTTTAGAATTCATGGTTTAGGGTTTACGTACTCAGATTGAGAGGGCTCTTTTAGAGGAGAGAGATAAGACATCCAATATCTGCCAATATTGTTGCCATTGATCCACACAAAACCTTTCCCCATACCAGTCATTGTAATGGCAACCGGATTGTTTCCTTCTGGTGCATCGAAATGTCCCTTGTACCATGTAATAGCTCCTCCTTGGTCAGGCTTGGTCCACGTGACAGACTTGGAGCCTTCTTCTGTATATATCTTCTTCTTTTCTCCGCTAACTCCGACCTGATGGCTCCAACCGTTTTCGGTTAAATCGAGTGTACCGGTGTTGAGACCGAGGATGGTGATCGAACGTGGACCGGCGTATCTGCGTTCCATGTAGGCTCCGCTATCAGGAAGTCCGACCACGAAACTCAAGATCGCAACATGGTTAGTCCCTTCCTTGAAAGGTGCAGGTTTCTGGAAAACAAAATTCTTCTCCACTTTGCTTCCGTGGTCTGTGCCAATGTATTCACCATTGACAAAGGCATGGATTCCATGGCCCTCACTTGCGACTCGTAAAGTCGGGAGGACTTGTTTATTCAACGGCAAGTCACGTGCTTCCAAGTCGAGTTTAGCCGTGAACCATACGTAGTCGGTTGTATCTTTGCTCAAAATCCAATGCTCCTTTGGTCCCGGGGACTGCATTGCAGTTTCAGTAGGAGGGACTTCCCTGTACATCTCCCAGTTAAAGTTCTTGTTCGCAATTTCCGATATTACGAAGTTTCTACTGTTATGTTGAGTTGTGATCTGTGTTAAGCAAGAAAGATAAGTGACTTGCAGTGCAAGTAAACCACAAATGATTTGGAACTTGAAGAAGAATTTGAGTTTACCTGGTTAGTGTTGAACACCACGGTCTTGCAATCGGGGAGGATACTAATGGAACGAGGCGGCAACCGATATTGCTGGCCCTTGAAATTCATTGTTTGTGTCTGCTTAGTGTCGTTGTTGGCCAAGAAAGCTGCACACGCCTGAGCTCCAGGTTGCTGCCACACTATAGCCTGCATTGCACATTAAACTAGTATCGATATCCCCGACCGAAAATCGATTCAATTAATCTACATTAACACGTGCTTACCTCTAGTTGTGCACCCAACTTTTCAACAGTAGGAACCCCCCAAAGCAGAGCCCTCTTGCACAAATTCAAGGCCTTGTGAACATCCTTTAGATGACCCCACTTTGGTTCCCTCAAAAGACCTACAGTAAGAACATTTTGAGAGTCAGCTGCAGACATGACTTCAATCCATAGATCATCGGATCTTAATCCTACCATATTCATCAAGAGGGGCTTCATCATAGTATCGAGTCGATGTAAACGAAGAGCTCGTTCTGCCATAGTTTGTGCCACCATAGTACATATAGTAATTAACCATGCTTCCATTTTTAGAGAAGAAGCGAGCGACTGAGTATGCCAAATCTTCAGCTGATCTTTGGGATGGTGGATCCCCGAATACTCGGAACCTGAATCAAGAGACAACCGCAGCATTAGCCAATATACACCAACATATTCGTTTAAATTACACTACTTACTGTGCAGTCCAGTTCTCGGTCCACAATGCGGGCTTGTTCGGCTTATTCGGACCAGGGAAAGTATCTCCACAGTGCCTTCCATTGCATGTATTGATCTGAAGAACCAAGTGTATGCATATTAATACTTTTTTTCCTTCTTTCTTATTAATTATATATATTTATGGCTTACAATGGGATCTGGGGCATCCATCTGCTTGCACATGATCCATGGAACGTCGACATCCAAACCGAGTGCCGTTTTCGCGGCCCACTTAATGTAGGTTTCGCCCTTTTCTCTGTATGCTAGCTGAATCGTGTTGTATTCGTTCTCGATCTGTGTTAAAATAATAGGCCCTCCTTGTGGAGCAAACAACTTCTCCTCCTTCATCTTCTTGACAATCAGGGTGATGAACTTTTGCATGTGTTCCTGCACAAGTACAAATTTTTGTCAGATACGAAATCTTGTAATCTTGTCATATACACTTGGAAAAGCATTATTACCTTGTACGGTTCGTTGTCAGATCGAAATATAATGTTCGGGACTTCTCTTAGCCAATATGGTAATCCTCTGATTTGAGAAAAGAAGATCCATTTCAATAAGAATATGGTAAGAGATTATAAACCTTGGGAAAATTTTATCTTTACCCGTTGTTCCATTCAGCCTGGACAAAGGGTCCCAACCTAAGGACTGCATACATATTATGTTGATGAATCAACTTGATGAACTTCACCAAGTCATACTGTCCCTCAAAGTTGAACTGACCCTGAACCGGTTCATGTCCGTTCCAGAATACGTACGTCTCGATCGTGTTGATGCCTCCACGCTTAGCCTTCTGAATCAGGTCAGGCCACATGTCCGGGGTGCTCCGGGGGTAATGAATAGCTCCCGAAAATAGAAGCACTCTTTTACCATTGACGATGATGGACCTTGCGTCATACGTCACCGGACCCTCGGCCTTATTTTCCTCTTCTTCCTCTGCCTCGGCATTTCCGGCATCCGCGGCGGCGGCGCAATAAGCGACCAGCAGTGTCGACAGAAAGAACGTGGACAGTAAATGGCGGGGCTTCACCATGGTGGTTTATGCCAGTTGAAGGGGGTGTAGGGAAAGGGGTGGGATAATGTAAGGAGCCTGCCTAGCTTTTTATTAGGAGCCTCTTTGGCATGGAAAGAGGAGCTCATCTAATAACGAACATAATGTCAGTCATTTATATCGAGTTTTTAGCCTCTGAACACTTCTGGTTTTGCGACTTTTTCTCGAGAAAAATTCTGCTACTTCTTGGAATTTTTGGCAGAGTCAAATGAATTGAATACCCATTGCTTTTCTATTTATATCAATCATCAAATTAAATTAACTATGTCTAAATTTATTAAATTTTTTCCAGAATCCATTACAATATTTCCTATTCCCAGAAATATAATGTCAATTAGTTGTAGAATCATAAACCCTGTTGACAACATCTTATTAACTTGGATTCTTGGGGTTTAGGGCCAGGCTACTCTTCTACTAGTTACTTTGATCAACTTATACACAAACCGACATATTTGTTAAGCTGGGAAAGTTCCGGGTATTATTATAAAGGCATAATGCCAAAATTAGCCCCTCCACGTTTACAAAATGATCATTTTGCCCTATATTCTATTTTGTTTTGAGATTCTGGCCCCTAACATTTCATTTTAGTTAAAACAAATCCCTAACATTTGATAGAATAATCACTTTGTCCCTTATTCTTTTTGTTTTTGGTATTCTACCCTTAACGTTTCATTTTAGGTTAATAAAGACTCTTATTTTAGAGCGTTAATTGTGTGTTAACTAATATTTTTCATTTATAAGGGTGCGTTTGGTTCACAGAATGCAAGATTACCAGTGGGAATAAAAGATTACCAGGGAATAGGATTACTGTGAATGTTGTATTTTGTGTTTGGTTGGTTTAGTAGGAATGTAAGATTGGTTGGTTAAAGGAATAAAACATTATTGGAATGTATATTTGACCAAATTGTCCTTATTATATATTTGTATAATATTACAAATTGTAAAATATTTATATATTTTCTTTAAAAAATTAAATTCATAATATTTATATAATTTTTTTACAAAATTAAAAATATAAAGAATGTTTAATGAAAGGGTAAAATTTTTTTAACCCCTAAACTTCATATAAAATTTTAATTATAGATTTTTTTTGTAAATCTAAAATAATTTAAGGATAAATTTGTAATTTAACCTTCGTAGAATTTTTTTTATTCAATGACAGAAGAATGATATTTTTGAAAAAAATAAAAATTTAAGGGTATTTTAGTCCAAAACGCCGGTAATGTTATAATACCTAAGGGAAGAGATGTAATGACATTCCCGGTAATATACCCCAAAAAATCTATTATTGTAATAAAACATTACCGGGAATGAGATTCCTGACCAACCAAACACCCCCTAAGAGATTTTTTGTCCAAAGTAAATGTTAAGAACCAAAATGTCTTAAAAATTAGAATAGAAGGTAAAGTAATTATTTTGGTAAACGTTGAAAGCTATCTCTAGTATTATGCCTATTGTCTTTTGTTTTAAGTGTTTGATTTATTCTTCGGTAAAATAATTGTATAATGTGCCATCCCACAATTATTTTTAGATTATCGGTTCAAACAATTTTCCTCAATTAATACGACGATATTTAATCATCTTTTTTTAATTTTCTAAAATAATAAATAAACGGAAAATGAAAGAAAAATCTGTGAAAAATTGATTCGTTCTAGAAATAAAAAAATTTGTAAGTCTCAAACACTTTAATTTAAAAAAAAAACAGTTTACACATGATGTGTTAAGTTTAATATGTCTCTTTATTTTTTTTTATGAAAATAAAAAATCATAAGTCTAAAAAAACAGTTTATTCATGATGTGTTAAGCTTGTAGGAAATATTCAGAAAAAACATTTTGTGTAGATGATATTCTAGTATTTTCAGAATCAATAGAATTACATAGAAAACATTTAAATATTATTTCACAATAATTCATAAAACATGGAATTATACTTAGTCCTAAGAAAATAGAATTAGAAAAAACAGAAAGAGAATCTTTAGGATTAAAATTATCTTCATATGGTCTTAAACTACAATAGCATATTATAATCAAAATAAAAGAATTTCATGGGAATATTGAAGATAAAAAAAACTTCAACAATTTTTAGGAATAGTTAATTATGGAAGAACTTCTTTCCAAAATTATCTGAAAATAGGTATATTATACGTAAATTAAAAAAATGTGCTATTTTCCTACACTAAACAACATTTGGAAGTAGTTAGAAAATTAAAATCATAAATAATAGATGTTCCAAAAGTTTATCTACCTAACCAAGGTGATAAATTAATATTAGAAATAGATGTCTCAGAAAAAAAAATTGGGATGTGTTTTAAAAGCCAAAACAATGGATAATCAAGAATTAATATGTGGATATGCATCAAGTAAATTTAAACCAAAAGAAATTAATTATGTAATTTTTGAAAAATAATTGTTAGCCATAAAAAATGGTATACAAACTTATTTATTTAGCACCTGAGAAATTTGTAATAAAAACAGATAACCAAGCAGTTAAACAAATTTTCACCAATAAAAAAATCGAGACAATACCAAGAAGAATTAGATGGTATAATGAATTATGTACATTTAATTTTGAAGTTTTATATATTAAAGGCACTAACAATGTTATTGCTTATTTTCTTAGCGGACCTAATGGATAGAGGAAAAAAACCTCTAGAAACAGTAGGAGAATGGACAATCGTCGAAAAAAACCCAACAAAGGGATTCCTAGACAACAAAATCCTAACCAAGGATTTGTGCCAGTACAACCTCCGATAATGTATTATCCTAACCAATGATATTATATTTCCTATCCGAAATGAGCTACACAACAATTTTCGATGACACCTTCAGTAAGCCAACTGCAGTGGTCACAAGATCCAAATTCAGAATATCAAGAAAGTTATACTGAAATTATAAAAAAGGTTGAAGCATTGTTGAAACCACAACAGTCAAAAATCAAAAAAGAAGAAATAAAATAATTTTATAATTCCGATTTAGAAACAAAAATATATAATTTGATTAATGAGGTATGGAAAAACAATGTCACCAATCAAAACAAATTTTTTGAAAAATCTCTTACCACAATTTCAAAAACTTTAATTGAAAAAACAATTGAAGCAGAAGAATTATTATTGAGATCTATCATATACAGATATTGGTTTATCCTAAAAATAAGTTTTTTAACGATAAAGGAGATAAACAATCTTCTTGATATATGCCAATATTTTTTTTGATAAAGAGAAAAGAAATCCTATTTTAGTAAAAGTATATAGATTAAGTTTACATAGTAAAGCTTATCATGTCTTACCTACAGAAATATTTTTAAATATTCATAGAAAAATTTGCAATCCGCAAGATCAAATTAAAAATATGTTTTCCAAATATTATAATCAAGCCTATTTAATTATGAATATTTCAGAAGAAACGTATCATATTATAAAGTTCAGGCTTGATCATGAATCGTTTGATATAAACAATATTGAATAGGGATTTGTTAGACAACTAGTATTACATAAATCTTCTTTACATCTTATAAAAGATTTTCCAGCTTTTATTACATCTCAACTAAGAGATTTAGCAAGAAAAAATAAAAAAGAATAGTATTTTCATATTGCAATAGATAGTCTTATTGGTATTTTTGACAAAGAAAAATTTTGTCAACCATATCAAATTTGACATGTTAATATGGTATCAAGTCATTGATGTCTTCTTAGTGCAATAGGAGAACATCCACAATGATTGAAACAATCAATTGATAAATGCATTTATGATCCTGCCTATTAACAAATACAAGCAGGAGTTGATTTGAAAGTCACAACTGAATTTATTCTCCATGAAAGTGAAATAGACTTCGAACTGATGGGAAAAGAATAATTGTTGAAGATTTTACTTTAGAAGAAACCATATCTGATGAAGAGTCCATACCGCTATTAAAAAAGATAACAAATATGGAAATTGAAGACTATCCCTATTTCATAGTTGAAGAAATCAAAAGGACACCAACATGGAATAGAGCAATGTTAACACCTCTGTTACCATCTCTGGACGAATATGAAATAATAAATATAGAGAACATGCAAGAAGGGTGAACATGAAAAAAGTCAGAAAAGTTGTCAGAGCCTTAAAAAGAAGAAAAATAGTAATAAATAAAAGTACAAGACATGGAAGCCACCACAGGAAGACAAAAATAAAAGCACCAACACGTGGAAGACTACTAAGGTGGACTTCAAAATAAATTGAAAGTAGCTTGGTAATGGAGTCTATAAAAGGAGAGACAAAATATCACCTTCAGCATCACCTTTTTCACTACCACTCTCCTCTCCAGCTTAGTTCTCTTAGGTTTTTCTTTGTAATCTTTTGTTCTCTTTCTTTCGTATCACCACCCTTGTGTAAAATACTTGTGTAAAATCATTTTTGTACCCTTATTCCCCTGTAACTGGTATCATCCCCTGGAGTTTTCGATATTTGAAGTAATAATATACAAGTATTATTGTAAGTTCTATCTTTGTCTTGCACTTTGTTCATTTCAATATTTTATCTTAAAACTCGTATATCTATTATTCTACTTTACTTTTTCCTCAATCTGGTGAAGTGACGTTTAGGCCTTGTTGTTGTAAAGATTGTGATTTTCACATATAACGGAAGATTTTAGGTACCGAAAATAAAATGATGGAAGAAACAAACTATTTGTTTAAAGATAAAAATTACAATCATACTATGTATATAGACTCTACGAACAAAAATAATATTACTTATATTAGTAAAGGTTTTAATAGCTTAACAGATATGGCCTCTATATATTTTAATAAGATGTATAATAAAGTTAATAAAATAGAACAAAAAATTAGTATTCTTGGAGAGGTAACTCAAATAGACCTAAATGGTGAATCTAAAAAATTACTATTTAATATTAATAAATTAGATCAAGTTGTGATATCTTCAAGAAGATGATATATATTTAGGTCCTTTTTATTATGGAAATGGAAACATCATATTAGTATTATCAGATGAAGAAGAAA